AGCACATACGATTTGTTTGAAACATTTTTCTCGATTCATGATAGATGGCGCTGTAATCGACGAAATTCAATTTCTTCGATTTCTCTTACTGAGAACCCATGCTTATGATTCTGCAATACATTAACAATAAAAATACCACGTTTTCATTGTTAATACTCGAAATTAGTCTTAAAACTTTTCATTATTTTTAATTACTCATTAATTACTTCTCAAGAAACTACTTTTAGCGTAATCCAGGAATAACGACGTGAATGAATTCTACAGCGAATAACCCGAACGGAGGTTTGTATTTATTTTTTTTCAATTTCAAAAGGTAAGAAAAATATTTATCTGCAATAAATCAGTCTAATTAAAAAAATTTTAAAAAGGGAACAGAAAACTGCTACGTACGATATGCAATAAAAAATAGGGGTTCCCATTTAAGATTTCAAACTTGCCCACCCTCGCCGTCCAGGGGGCGGGGTGGGGGGCTGATTTTAACGTCAGTGTATGTCCACCCTCGGAATGATAAAATATCGATTCTTAACATTTTTTCTTAGTGTGCTTATTTTTCAAGATATTTGAAAGTTTCAGGTGAAAAAAATCATCCTGTATTACTATAAATTTTCATAAACAGATACTTATATGTTATATAATCAGGAGTCACAATATAGTGTCCCGATGCCAGAGTTGATGCGTAATTTATATTATTACGTCTTACGTAATCAAGAGTTTAAAGATGTAAGTTTTGCTGTATCATTCATTAGAGCTAGAAGTTTTTTTAATCGAATAAAAAACTGATGAAACTAGTTTTTCTAATTATGAATATATAATTTAGAGGAAAGTTACCAACATACCACTTTGTTTTTAGACAATATTTCGTAAACAAAAGGTAAAAATAAAACTTTGAAAACATAAGTACCAACTAAAAAATGTCTTTCGTCAGATAGTATAAGCAGTTTTTAGAATACTGTTTGCAACTCTGCAATAAATAATTTTTTCTTATATAAGGTAAGCAAAAATGAGCGTTTGACAAAATGGGCTCCAAAACTGATACAGTAGGCAGTAACCTACGTAATCCTATTCTTTTTCTTTTACAGGAATTATTTGTATAAAATACCTACAAGTGAATGTATATAAGATATTCCAGAATCTTTTCACTTCGTTATAAAACATTTTTATTTAATTATATGCATATTTACTTTATGCTGTTCTATAAGATGCAAATATGTAACGTGATAGTTTTTTTATGAGTATTTCCATATATGCACGATTGTTTTCAACTCCAATATAGCTTTGACACTATAAAGCGACATTATAAAGATTAAGTTAGGTCATGATCTGTTTTACAGGTGTGGCGGTTTACGCTGCACCGTAGTTTTTTTATGAGTATTTCCATATATGCACGATTGTTTTCAACTCCAATATAGCTTTGACACTATAAAACGACATTATAAAGATTAAGTTAGCTCATGATCTGTTTTACAGGTGTGGCGGTTTACGCTGCACCTCAATTTTAAATTTAAAATCGTATTATAAAAAAACTAAGAAAAAAAATGTCATAAATAAAACTGATTTAGGAAATTACAAGCATTTAAAATGATGTAATATTATCAATAATATAGTCACTATTATTTAAACCACACAATTTGCAAAAGAAAATCGTAAAAATTTTATTTTTGCATTCGTAGAATTCGTTTTTAGTTGATTTTGTATAGAAATAAGCCACAAATACACGAATTATGAGTTTGTACTTCTTTAATTAGGTAAACAGATCATGATTTTAATAGTATTAATAAAGTGCAATAGTTTCTGAGAAGTAAGGGGGTGTCCTATTTTTTAGGAGACTTATCGGTGACTTTCCTCTATTATTGTTTATATTTTTCGTTAAAACATGTAAAACCTATATACTTTATAAGTGATTATATTTGAATTGAAAACTGTGATTTTTTTCATAATTTTTTTATTCTGTTAACAAATCCGTGTAATACCTAAAGGTTGCTTTACGTATAATTTATATTATGAATAAAAATGTGATTGCATTTCAAAAATAAAATCTTGTGATATTTTATTTGTATCTATCGTGTATAATAAAACACAAAGAAATACGAGTATAAAAAAATTGTAGATTGGAAAAAACTTACTTGGAATCTGAATCATTTGGATCACACGTATATATATTATGTGTATGTAACGTAGTTTCGATGTATCTTTTAAAAGCTGCACAGGTTGTACTACTTCGTTTTGTATACAAGAGCACCTGTCAAAAGACAAAAAATTTAACTATAAATAATACTTCGTTATTTTTTACAATAAATTTTATTTAATATAATACATTCTTAAAGATAGTACAACATAAAACTATTTTCTATTTTCATGTTGAGATTATGATTTAATCGAAATGTGTGACAATAAAAAGATCTCGTTTGTACTATACAAAATTAATATACTATATAACACAAGAATCGATTACTGTAAAAAAATTATTTTAATATACTTATATATTGTTAATAAAATAAATAAAATTTTAATACCTTTAATATTGTTTCAACTGCAAATACTACAATAAGTCCTACTGTGTTTGCTGCTACCACTGACATCAAGTTTCGCTTATAAAAGTTTTGAGCTCTAAAATTATAAACGGTAGATTTAAAAAAATATGAAACAAAAGCAATGCTAAAAAGATTATTGTAAAACTTGAAATAAATATCTGATTTACGTAAGTTGTATTGCATTAACATTTGTGTAATATACAGAATATTTGAAAGTTTTCTGAATTTTTAAATATTATCAATGTTTATACAAAAAAAAACGTTTTACCATAAATATTGAAAAATAGAAATATTTTATAAAAGCATAGCGTTATGATTTTCCATATTTTATTGCAATGATTGTTACTATATCGGAATAGAATTGGAATTTTAATATTTTAATTCAATCTAAATACTTACTCTTTGTATAATTGTTTATTGTACCACTCTGGAAGATCATTGGATGTTACATCGGTTGCTTCCGGATCGATTACACTTTTATCTTCTAGGATTAATTTGAAATGTTCATCCACCGTCCGTGTTTGGACTGCAATATACGTGTTTTATATATATATAGAAAAATAGAACAATAGAAATAATCAGATAATTTGAAAAATCGTATAATAAACGATTCTATTTTTTACACAAACACGTCAATACATTTGCAATATATATTTATTTTTTTTCAAAATAATTATAATTTTTTAACCTTTAAAAATCTTACGACTTTTTCTTAAGTAAAATTTGTTACAATTCATTATTTCATAGTATTCCTGATTTTAAAATATTAAATGTTTTAGCATTGCTATAGTGGCTTTTTTATTGTTATTAAGAATGTATTGCAAGTGTCATTTTACATTTTATATTAGAATTTTGAATAAAGTAGTAACATATTTTTTCACTTTTTGATAGTTACATTTTAATATTTTTATGTGCAAAATGATGAGCAGAATTAGTTTAAGTATTGCGGAAATTATCAATTTTTGCATGAACCACTTTTATTCAATGCAAGAGGTTTTAAATTAATATTAATGAATATTATTCGAATTTATCGATCATACATATATTTTATTCGTAAAACTTAAATAGGAGCTACTTAGCCTAACAAAAGTTTTGTTCGCTTTGATTTATTATTTCGCTGTATATTGCACTATACAAAGTCTTTTTTAAAGACGCATGAAAGGCAAGAAATAATATTAAAATAAATACTTATCTATTTATCTATTTATTCATTTCGATAATTTTATTTTAATATTAAAATTTAAAATATCTTATCATTTTTTGTAAGCATCTTATTCGTCTTTCATTTTCAGTGACACTCAACATAAATCATCGCATTACAGTGGATTCTAATTCTATTTATCTTAAGCCCGATTGCACCAACGTTACTTTTTAACCGAGATTTAAAATTCTTTTTGTCTCTGTCTCTTTTTCGACTTTAAAATGAGACAGACAGACAGACAGGCAGGCAGAGAGAGAGAGAGAGAGAGAGAGAGAGAGAGAGAGAGAGAGAGAGTTTCAAGTCTTACTTAAAGTCAAAGTAACGATGCAACTGAGTCTTAACAGCTAAATGGAATTAGAATCCACTATAATGGTGCAATGATTTAAGTTGAGTATCACTGAACTCTAAAGGTGAAGAATAAATAAGATACTTGTAAAAATGGAAGGGCATGTTTCCAACATAGTTTTTTGCACAAACGTACTCACTCGATATAAAGTTATATAAACGAATTATTCAAATAACACGTTATAATTCTTCTACAACATATTTAGGTTTCAAATAAAATAAAATATAATTTTATAATGTATTTGTTTAATAATTTTCTGAAAACTTTATACATATTAGATATAGTAAGCTAATTAATTATTAGATATTTTATATATTAAATATTAGATATTTTGGTTAATTAAAATTTAAATCATATGCAAAAGAGCAATAAATGCTAATTGTTCTTGCGATTATATTCATGTAATTTAACGAATTCGATTACTATACAGATTACGAGATAGTACAAATTATCAATTAGATTATTTAACGAATTCGAAACAATTCTGCATACGTTTTGATTTACATTAAGGCATTTTCAGTGGTACAACAAAATAATTTACAGAGATAAAATACTAAAAAATTCAGATTACGAATGTTGATAGAGAGATCACATTTTTGATATATCAAAACTACATATCAATGTGAGGGCAGTGACAGTCTTTGTTAAGGATTACTTTAGATTATTTTAAAATATTTTTACTACATATTATTTAATAAAAAAGTAAGTATAATATTTTCGAAATATAAAATATCAAATTTAATAGTATTGCTATTATATTATTGTTGACGCTAAGTGAAGTAAAAGAACCGATGTAATTCTAAATCATAATAGTAATAAGATAACTAAAAGTGGATAAAAAATGATTAAAAAGTTTTAAGAGTATTAGTATTCTAAAACAAGACAGTTATATATAATTTCTATATGTGATACAAGGTTTAATGTATAAGGTTCAACGATTATATTTAATTGTTATAATGTTCGGTACAAAATTTAATGTATGCTCAATTATCACGTTTTTGCGTTTACATATACATTTTAGAGATTAATTTTAGTTTAATCAATATATGATTTAATTTACGCAGGCGCGTAAAATGATTTAAACTATTTGGCGCAGAGCAGAAATCGATGACGAGAATATGGATATATTAAGCACTATTGATGCACTCATCTGCATAATACGTGATATTTCGATCACTCTATCTTAATTGAAATTATATTTGATTTAATTAAAACTCTTTTAAGGCGCACTTTTCTCTTTTAACAATAAGATTTACTCTTTGAAACTTTGAGAGCCACTGCTTCGATCAAAAACTATTCTTCCTGTGTTTAATACATGTTTAATTAAAAATAATACAATCTTGCTTTACCATCGTCAATATGTATCTTTTTCATTTCACTGCTTTGTATATTTTTATTAAGTCACAATCAACAAAAGATTTTGCTGTAGGAATACGAGTACAGACTGCAGATCACTGTAGCGCGTGTATTCTTGCTCAGCGGACAACTGGATACTAAAGAATTTTCAGCGTTCTTCACTGGCATACTCCTCCTTTTATACCATGAGCAGATACTACATATTACTTTTGATATACTGCTTCTTCTTTTCGCTGAATCTAAAGTCTTAATCTTTTCAACTTTTACCGTCTGTATAGAACAATTAGAGGGATTATATTATGTAATAAAAATTATACAATTTTATTTAAAAAGTGAAGATAACTTTCATATGATCTTGAAAAATTGATTTTTTTGAAAATTGATTTTACTATTATCTGCGCTCTTATAATCCATACAATTTTTTAATAAAATATATTTCTGTAAAACACTAAAATCAAAGAAAATTTTGGGAAGTGATTGAATAAAGCAGGGCTCGGCACGAAATGCAACTTTCGGCCGATTTTCGAGTCGGTTGAACGTACTAGTGCACATTAGTGTTCAACCGAATTCGCTATTAGTTTCGTATGTAATGAGCGAAAAAAAAAGATAGAATGAAGATTACAGCGTGTCGAGCGCCCCGAACGAATGCCCCTTACATCTACGAGCGCCTTAGTACACTCCTAAATGCATCTGGACTGCCGCGGGGCGGTGAGGTGAGAACGATAGCGGAAGGCAGAGCCGACTCGAAAGTTGCATTTCGTGCCGAGCCCTGGAATAAAGTAAGATATTTTGTATATTCGTTTAAAAATTATATAAAGAGAAATTTCCGATGTAATACTTTCCGCATAAGCAGTGATGTGTGATATCTAGATACATGTATCTAGTCATTGTATTTAAATTCTTTTTGTGCATCTGCGTATGTAACTATAGTTACATTTCTTAACTGCGTAACTGTAACTACAACCAGTTATGTTTTATTTTGTATCTTATCATAATGTATCTAAAATATTTTAGATAAGTAGATTTTCAGAGACACTCAACTAATAGCGTATTCGATTTACTGACTCGACACGATTCCGAGTCAATGATCTGTTCTGATTTGCTGTAAAAAAATAGCTAAATCGTGCAAGAAATGCAGCTAAAACGATTCGGAATCGGGTCGAGTCACCCGGTAAAAAATGTTTCATGCTTGTGAACATGTATAAATATGTATAAACAAGCAGTCCAATTCTGTAACTTAACGCAAATTTCATTGCCACTGTAATGCTGCTGCGCAGCTCTTTCATCATGTGATCTGTTTTCTGTTTCTGCATTAGACTGTTCTAGAACTCTCTTTCTCGCTTTAAACAAATATCAAACGTATATCTATCTCACTTTAAGTTCCGAAAGTGTACACTAGTTCAGCCACAAAAAACAGACCTATGGTAAAAAAGCTGCTCAGCTCCTGTATTCTGTAACTCGTTATGCAGTCGTTATGAGCACATAACGATCATATAACGAGTTACAGAATTCTACTGCAGCGGCGTTATAATGATAACGAAATTTGCGTTAAGAGTTACAAAATAGATCTGCAGGCAGTAATGTAGTCGAGTCCTGGCGGGGCCTGGCCAAGCCTGGCGACGCCAAAGTACTTTTTTCGGAGGCCAAGCCTGGCGGTGCGACGTCACACACACACACACACACACACACACAAGATTCTTCCTATAATTATTTAAAACTAATTTTTTTTGTTTGTGTGTGTAATAAGACGGTAAGAAGAAAGAGAAGTATTTACTGAAATCTGAATTGCGATATGATAACATGATATAGTTAACCAAAGAATTCAATCATACAAGGTGTCTCAGAAATAATGTACGCGCCGCTTTGAGGGCATAGAAGGGGTTAAAGGGAACAAAAAAGTCTTATAACATTTTGAGATATTCGCTGTAGTTTTCAAATAAAAACATAAAACATCTAAGCCAATGCGGTGACGCTATACGGGCGAATCCTATATAAAAAGATTACATTTCCCTTTTTTTTTACTTGTTCATTCCACATGTTGCAGATTTGTGTTTTAATAAAAATTTGGTAAACCTCTATTCAAAGCACCACCAGGGTACTTTTATTTTTAGGACTACACTACTGTCTGCAGAGAATGGAAAGTTACTTTTCAAAAGTAACAAATTACAGTTACTCGTTACCGAGTAGGAAAAGTAATAATTACCGATTTTTAAAAGTAACTCGTTACAGTTACCGTTACTTGAGAAAGTAACTTTCCGTTACTTTTTTTTAAATCGACGACCGTCAATCACAGCGGACAGGCCTAGAGGCTTTTCTAGTCTCAAACACTATGCACTGTAAAAAATTGTGTAAAATTACAACTATTATACTGGATAATTTTGAGATCCACTATAATAGTTGTAAACATCCACACGTTTGTAAATTTGTAATATGCAATTAAAATAATTTCTTGGTTTGTAACTAAGCAGATTGTGGAAGTACAATTACAATGTGTATGTGTAGTTACAGGAACGATAATATGACAGTACATTTTGCACTATATATTATTATACATTTAACAACGATACGTGAAAAACTTCTGTTATATTACGTAATACTACTAAAATTTGTATAATTACAGAAAATATTCAAAATATCCTGCTATTTACATAATTTTTCAATATAAAATAAGATATATTTACACAATAAAAGCAAATTTACATAATTTTTGTGGAATTACATAATTTCTGTAAAATTGCATGCTTTTTTATATTTACAGGACTAATCATGTAATCTATTTTATATCTATTATATGTGTAAATTTACGAAATTTTTTGACAGTGTAAGTGGCTTGTGTCGTATCGTGTCCAACCATGTGCAAAGTAATGATAAAAGTAACTGTAAAATTCGTTATCTTTACAGTTACCAAAAAAATGTAACTTCGTTACCGTTATAGTTACCAAAGAAAAAAAAGTAACGCAGTTACTAGTAAAGTTACCAAAAAAGTAACTTGTAACTGTAACTTCGTTACAAGTAATGAGTTACTTCCATTCCCTGGTATAAATATACATAAACACGCATAAATATTCATAAACTTATATAATTATATATATAGATGATATAATTAGACTCGGTTGAATAAATCTATGTATATGAAGATGCTTTTCCGAGTCAAACACTGGTAGTTCGTGTGTAAATGAATTTATTCGATAATTTCGTTACCAAACGTTTCGATCCTCGCTTCGAATCCTTATCAATGTAGAACATTCGATAACATATCACTGATTTTCTCGGAACGATAATAATGTTGAGATTAGAAAATACGAAGTTATCGCGTGAAAAACGGAACACATCTGACTTCGTATTTTCTAATCTCAATATTATCATCGTTCCGGGAAGATCAGTTATAGGATGTTATACAATATACATTGATAGGGATTCGAAGCGAGAATTGAAACGTTTGGTAACGAAATTATCGAATAAATTCATTTACACACAAACTATCGGTGTTTGACTCGGAAAGGCATCTTCATATACATAGATTAATTTATATAATTATATATGTCCATACATGTTCATATATTCCTTTTTTCTTTCGTAAAATTACTTTTTAGTGTAATAGAAATAATAATAGTAATGTGAAAACATTAAAAATAATTAAAAAGGTAATTGTCGCACTCTTTGTTTTAGAAAAAATCAAGTTTGAAGAAATGTAAAAAATTTACTTACGTATAATTATATATAAAATTATGCATGTATATTATATATAAAATTGTGTATGAGCAATTTTTTTTTACATTTTTCCAAACTTGTTTTTTTCTAAAACAAACAATGCGAAAATTATCTAAAACAAACAATGCTTTAATTATTTTTTATGTTTTCACATTACTATTATTATTTCTATTACACTAAAAAGTAATTTTACAAAAGAAAGAAGAATGTATAAATTTGCGAAAATTATCTAAAACAAACAATGCTTTAATTATTTTTTATGTTTTCACATTACTATTATTTCTATTACACTAAAAAGTAATTTTACAAAAAAAAGAAGAATGTATAAACATGTATGGACATATTTCGTATATAATTATACACGTTTATGAATATTTATGCGTGTTTATGTATGTTTATACATATTTATACAAATTCATGTGTGAAAGATTTTTTACCGAGCAGTAATTGGAAAACGCTATAATTACGTAATCTAAGCAGAAATTAATCCAGTCAATGGGCGAGTTCATGAGAAATTAGATTACATGTAATCTAATTTCTTATTCTTGTCGGTCCAAATAAAAAAAATCTTATTATTGGTTATACACGCTGCCTGCAAAAAAGCGTTATTGTTCTTACATACACTGATTATTGCGAAGAATATTACTAAGGCCTCGGTGATCTAATGGCTTAGGACGTTCGTACGGAATACAAGAGATCCGGGTTCAAGTCCCGACCGAGGTAATATTTTTCGCAATAAATTTATTTAAGATTTTCAGCATATTGTCAATTTAATTTAACTTGTGATATTGTTGCAGTAGTTTAATTGCGTTAGATAAAGTCCGGAAAAATTTCGGCGCGCAGTTTGAATAACTACTAAAATATAATATATATGCATGTAGTACATATATAGGATATAGATAATTTACTGGGAATTATTTAGGCAAAAAAGATCTAGCTTTGACCGTCATAGGCTTGAATACGCTTATATTATACTTAGTGTTTAATTCTTGTCGGTCCGAATAAAAAAAATCTTATTAATTAAATAATATAATATTTTTCAGCATTCGTAGTTGGTTTAAATTTTTAGAATTACATTTTCGATGCCAGCATATCTAAGAGCAACTAATAGATACATACTTACATTACACAGATAATCTTAATGACTGCGTTCAGTAGAAAAAGCAGCTTAATGATCATTTCACGCTGCTTATATTTTTAGATTAGAAAAATAATCTTATCTTAGATAAGGAAATTTCCAATTGCAAAATGAACATAGTCAATAGATGATTGTTGTAATTATTAAATAGTATTTATAAATTAATATTGTGTTAGTAAGATATACTTCCCACAACCAGAAATAATATTGATCGATCAACGTCGATTTGATTTATTATTTCTAACGAAAACTGAATTACTTCAGAAATACAATAGCAAATAAATTTAA